CTTATTGTGCTTCATCTATGTGTGCTGCAGCTTGTTGTAGTGGTGTTTGTCCAACAACACCAACATGTGGTAACTGAGATTCTTGCTCTGCCATTCTCTGTTCTTCTAACTCTTGAACTCTCTGTCTTACAGCTCTTCTCCTATGGATGTTGTCAATGAAAGGAGTCAGCTTTGATGAGCCTTTAGACCTCAAATTCATACAAGTACCTGAAAAAACAGAGCACGGAAAACAGAGCAATTTAGTAACTTTTAAAGTAAAGAACTTAGTCTAACAGCAATGTTAAACTAAAAAAATCCACAATGGCAACAGCGCCAATTTTAAAAGCGGTTTTTTGGTCACTATATCAAACTCCTTATCTTCTAATCAGTTGTAGAATAAAGATCAAGTATCAATCCAATTGTGGGAGATGAGATGCAAACAATGCTGTAAGCTAAGAAAGATTTGTGGTTTGATTATGTGAGAACAAGACTAACAATCTAATGATGCAATAAAAGGAAAGCATAAACTAAATGCAAGTGAACAAAGCTGAACAATAAACTTAAAGCAATGATTAAGACAAGTACTAAGCAAGAAATGACTACTAAAGCAAGAACTAAGCAAGATGACTTTTAAGACAATTAATTAAAAGCAAGACTCAAGGTTCTAAGCAATTGTGGGACAGTTGTTTTCAAGAGTGACAAGGGGATTTCTACTAAGGTACTCAACAAGCATTAACAAGCAAGCAATTCTCAATGTTATGCTCCTAGACAAGGTATTTAATGGGAACCACTTGGCGTCAATAAGCAATTCATATTCAACAAGATTGAAGTGTCAGACCCACTTGTGATGGCGTATCCTTCAACCATGAGCGTAAAGATCAGAACCATTCTAGCCTAAGAAATACACCAATCAAGCAACTACTCTCTCACCCAAGCAAGAATTCAGATCAACTTATCAATCTTGTGAACCAATAAGGACCTAAGCAGCTATACACCAATTAAGACTATGGATTTAAGCACACACTTGCAACATCCTAACAAAGCTAAGCAATGAACAAGAATGAAACAAAGGCAAGATCTTTTGATGCATACTATCTAACCATCAAGTCAAGAATCTCAAAACCAGCATTATCTAGCCCTAAGCGAATCATCTAGCAAGGTGAACTATCACTTTGGTGTCACTGAACAAGGGAAACATAGACCAAGCTAGACTATCAAGCCAAATAAGCGAACTGTACTTAGAGAAGAGATATCAAGACATCAAGTGAACCATATGCATCTATCAAACCATAATCAATCAAAAGTGATACAATATCAAAAACCAGTATATCAAGGGTCTTCAATATGTGAATTATTATTAGAATCTGTTCTTCATGATTTATAAAGTCAAAAGATTCTCATTCAAGTCCAAAGCAAGATTGGTGGCAAGAAGACCATTATTTGATTTAGCTTATTTTCTCCTTTTTTTTAAATATAAATAATTTCATTTAAGTGTATTTATTTGCAAAGATCTTTTGTAAGAGCTATAAAAGCTCATTGTTCTCATTGTAAAAAGATATAGAATTTTTTGGAAATTAAAAGAGATTTTTCTCTAAAGCTTTGGCTTTGTTTTTGTTTATCTAAGCAAGATGGAATTCTTCACTTAGTAAACATTTGAATCTATGTCTCTTGTGTGCGATGCTTTGAGACTAGGTTTGTGAACTCTTCACAGGGGCTTCCACACCCTTGAGTGGCGTTCTTCGATCCACCCATCTATCCATCTCATCCACTGATCCAACCTGAAAGAGACTTGAGTCCAGCAGGATTGATCCCGCAACCATCCACTTCGATCATCTTTTAAGCAAGTAGAGAGAGACTTCAGTCCAGCTGCTTGCTTCCACCCATTCACCCAACCATTTATAAGATCATCACATTGATCTTATATCATTTGGTATCAGAGCTTAGATTCAAATGTTTACTAAGTGAAGAATTCCATCTTGCTTAGATAAACAAAAACAAAGCCAAAGCTTTAGAGAAAAATCTCTTTTAATTTCCAAAAAATTTCTATATCTGTTTACAATGAGAACAATGAGCTTTTATAGCTCTTTCAAAAGATCTTTACAAATAAATACACTTAAATGAAATTATTTACATTTAAACAAAAGAAGAAAAATAAGCTAAATCAAATAATGGTCTTCTTGCCACCAATCTTGCTTTGGACTTGAATGAGACTCCTTTGACTTTATAAATCATGAAGAACAGATTCTAATAATAATTCACATATTGAAGACCCTTGATTTACTGGTTTTTGATATTGTAACATTAATCACTTTGCAAGAGAAGGAGATAACAGAGAACTATTAAACAAGCCTAATTACCCCTTAATCATATCTTAATCACCACTTTCCCTACTTAAAACCCTAAATCTAAAGAAAACTACTCACTAATCATGTTTAATCCCATTGATTTAGAGTTAAACATAATTGATGGGTTTAAAAAGCAAAAGATGATAAATCTAAGCTACCAAGATGCAAAAACAAAGGATTTAAGACAAGATTAAACCATAAAAATGCAAACTTTATTAAAGATCAAGATCCTTAAGGCAAAATCGCCTTTTTAGGTTTAAAGAGAGTTTTTGAGATTAGATAGAATAAATCTTGATAAGGATAATGTTTTGTGGCTTCCTTTTTATAGTAGAGAGCCAAAAGAAGCATAAAAAACCTAAAAAGATAAGATAAGGTTAAGAAGTCAAATGGTCAACGCGGATGAGCTGCATCGAGGTCGTACGGTCGATGTTCTGCTTGATATGCATCCTCGATATGGTCCGTGCAGCATGTATCAACGTCCTTCCTCGATGCTGGTCCTCGATGCAGACCAACGGCTTGGAATCCTCGTGCTGATCCTTCTCGTCCTGCTGCTTGCATCGAGCATACTCCACGGGTGTTCTGCTCGATATGCTTGCTCGATATGGACCAGACTTTGCAAGAACTCCACTTTTTACATCTTCATTGATCATGAGCTGCTTCCATCTCTTCCCCAGCTCCAAGAAACTCCAAAAACACCTGAAAACCACCACAAACATGTATATGTATGCAAATGTATGTAATCCTAAGCTAAATGCATGCTATGTTGATTCTAAGTGCAAATGATACTAAAATACTAAACTATAATGCAAAAAAGAGAAAAAGATGCATGAAATGCAGCCTAAAATGATCTAAAATAGCAAGCTATCAGTTATCATAAAATTTTAGGACTTAACTAATAATTTAATCAAAATCTATCTATTAATTATTATTATTTTTTTGTTGCTAAAATGCATCTATTAAATTTGATATATAGTAACTATATAGTAATTTAATCAGTAATAACGTTAGATCTAATAAGTTAATTAAAAACAATTCATTAATTTAGACTCTTTCCAAAATTTAGTATACAATAAATAGTATTTAATATAATATAATTTAATTATGAGCTAATTGGGAATTTATTAATAATTTTAATGAAAATGAAATTTATTGTGTTTGATATATTTTAATAATATAAGTATTTTAATTTATGGCGCACTCACTAATTTAATTTAGATATACATATTCAAAGATTTCGAGAATAAATGATGGTGACACTTTTTTCTAATAAGTAATCAATGTTGAAAATTTATTTGGAGTAAAAATAATACATAAGCTGGGCGGACATCAATATTTTTATAGAAACTAATTGTAATATATACCCAAATTTAGATATTGGTGAAAATATTGAATCATATCGTCAATTGCAGAATATAGAAAATCTATATAGCGACTTCGTATTTCTATCGAGCTATATCATCTATGCATAATCTTTAATTTTTAAATTAATTTAAATTATTTTATATAACAATTAAATTACTCTATATTTTGGAAAAACTTATATTATCAATGTTATAGTATATTATTATATAAAAATTATATGAATTTAATTATATAATATTATATTATATGATTTTATAATTACACTAAATTTAAATAAATAATAATTATTTCATCTGGGTTATTATCTAGTATCATACTATTTAACAACACTTATCAATTATTGAAATTGTTTTACGATATAGGAAATAAGATTTACGACGAAATAAGAATAATCTCTCCTAAATTATTCATAAACCTTATAGATTATAAAGAATTTAGGAAAAATCGTCCTTAATTTGTCATAAATTTTATATCTTATACCCTAAAGTAGCATCAATTTGATTCCAACACGTTGATTGTTCAATTTCATAACTGTAATTGATCATTATAAAATTAGAATTTAAGAACACATCATTATACATAAATATTATACCGTGTATAATATTTATTTTATAACATCATATTACTTAACAACACTTATTAACTCATTGAAACATTTATTTTATTATTTACTTTTGGTAGAACATTCAGTTTTCTATCACTTGGTTTATCATTTTCTTCAAACACATCAATAATACAAATAAAATTTAAAAAAACCAGCAAAATTCCAAAGAATTGATACTATTTTAGGGTATAATGTATAAGATTTATAACAAATTAATGAGGATTCCTCCTAAATTTTTTGTAAACCTTATACCTTAAAATAGTATCAATTTGGTTCCAACTCTTTGATTGTTTAATTTCATGATATGTATAGATTTATAATTTTTTTACACATCAGTTATATAAATAATATTAGGTGGTTTTATGCACTTTGCGTGAATAAATCAAATTTTAATATTATTTAATATAATAATTTTTAATATAAATTAATAAATACCAAGTGATGGGAATGAATCTATTACTCTTTTTTTTTTATAATAAATGTTATTTAGAGAAAATGTATCAGCAATGTATATGGATGTATTAAATTCAAAACACATCCATATACATCCGTTACAATGCACATACATTTTTCTAAAATGACATTTATTATGAAATGGAGAAAGTATATAAAGAATTGATTATGTCTCATAAGAGTATGACACATCACATCAGCAATGAATTTTTGTTTTCCCTTTTTTATAAATTTTAAAACTTTACCAAATCCTTCGTCTCCTACATTCAACATAAAAATTAGTCAACATTCCAGTACAACAGTTCCAATAAACATTGAACTTCTTTATTGACAGCTCTAATGCGATTTGGTCTTCTTCTACCTTCGGTAACTCCGTCTCTATGCTGCTTTCTTCCTCCGATCGGCGGTTCGATTCTCCAAACCGTCTACTCCTGTTGTTTCAGGTGCATTTTGTCATCTTCTGTCCTCACATGATTTAATGTAAATGGCTACGAGTGTTTCAGCTTTCCTCTTCAGTCATTTTAGTGTACGAAGTTCTGATTTCTCACGTTTTCTCTCTAATTTACTCTGTCTCTCAGTTTCGTCTTTAAGTGATTTTCTCAGTACCATCGCTCATTGATTCTCTTCTCGCCAGTTCTCGGAGAAGGTGTGTGACCGCAAATATGGAGAGTGAAAAGGAATTGATGAACAAAGCTAAAAAACCTGTTAATTCCAGATTGTGCAGAGTTTCTGGGTATTCAATCTATCTTTTCTATCTATCTGAATCTTGTTCGATTGGATTTTGATTATAAATTACACTCTGTTTTTGGTTTGGATTTGTGAGATCAAGTTCGATGATGGAGGTGATGTAAATTCAAGCTGAGAATACGAAATTGCATGTATTGTTTATTCCGGGAAATCCAGGTTTCGTTATGTTCTTATGATGAATGCACATTTAAACTAGATATGAAAAATTCTATTATGTTTATGTACATTGGCTTGTAATTTTCAGGTGTTGTGTCATTTTACAATGACTTTTTGGAATCTCTACAAGAGTTTCTTGATGGAAATGCATCTATAACGGGTATTAGTTTCGAGTTTGGTTTCTTTGATTCCATTGAGTTTGATCGGTTCTTCTGATCTCTAATGGTGGACTGATTTGTTTTGTGTTTTTTATTACGTAGCTATTGGGCAAATATCTCACACGAGCAAGGTACTATTACTTTGGTTCAGACTGAGTCTCTGCATTTATACTGTTCATGTCTTCTGAGTTTTGTGTGCCCTGAAGTGCGATGGCTTGATTCGTGCTTTGGTGATATTTGATGAATAACATTCTTGTGTTCCGCTTGTAAGGACTGGGAATCTGGGAGACTGTTTTCGCTGCAAGAACAAATCGATCATAAAGTACTAAAGATTCGACATTGCCCTGGGATTTGAAATCTTATGAAGTTAAGATCTCAATCTGTTAGTTGTATCATACAGATTCATTTTATCAAACAGGAGTTGGAGAGCGTGAAAGTTCCAATAATACTGGTAAGAAGAACAATAATGTCATGTATACAATGAGCTACATTACATGTTGACGTACTGCTTCTTGTAATCAACACACATACATTCATTGATTAATTGGGAGGATTTATGAAAATTTACAACCAAATGTCAAAATGCTCTTTGTAGGTTGGGCATCCTATTGGGTCTTACATATCCCTTGAAATATTAAGGAAGTGCTCGGAGAAGGTATAGACTGATTCCTCTAAAAGTATACTTCCTCTATCGCAAAGTTGATCTATGTGCTATGTGATCTTTGTCTATTCTCTGGATTGCTCTGTAGGTGGTATATTGCATTGGCCTATATCCAGACTGAGTGATATATAGAATTAATATATAATAAAGTCTCTCTCTTTTTTTTTTTTTGTTGATATGATTCTGTTAACGCTAATTGTTTGTTGTTCCTGTATATGCAGTCTTGGTAGGATCTGTACCAAAAGGCACACAGTTTGATGCACGTCAGTTCGACCAGAAGTTGAACGAAGTGTGAGTCTTCTAAATTTCTAATTCTGTTCTATTGCTTTTCATTCTGAGCTTTGCTATTTCCACTCGAGTGTTATACTAATTGTATTGTACGGATACAGACTTGAGGGACAAGATGAGTTCTTCACCTCTTATAATGATGTTCACGAGAGCTTTGATGCCATGGGTCTTCAGGAGAACCTTCTCAGAGGGATCTATGCTTATGGTACGTGTAGAAGAACTTTGAGAAAGCTTTCTTTTTGTGATATTTTGTCTCTCTCTCTCACTCTCTTTGAAACCTCGCCTCATGTTTGCTTCGGTGTCTGTACTACATAGGTTTTGAGAAGCCTTCTGCTATTTAGCAAAGAGAAATCATTCCCTTTTGCAAAGGTCTTGATGTGATCCAACAGGCTCAGTCCGTGTACCGGGAAGACCGCAACTTTCTGCTCTGGCGTCTTGCAGCAGCTAGGCTGGCTCACAGACAAAATGAGAGGCCGTGACCACCGTCTCAGCGACTCACGGAGACATGGACCAGAACACGAGAGATATCATCATGAGAGAGTTCAGGTCTGGCTCGTCCCGTGTGCTCGTCACCACTGACCTTTTGGCCCGTGGTATCAATGTCCAGCAAGTCTCTCTGGTTATCAACTACGATCTCTCGACTCAGTCGGAGAACTACCTCCACCGTATCGGAAGAAGTGGAAGGTTCGGGAGGAAAGGTGTGGCCATCAACTTCGTGACTCGTGATGATGAGAGGATGCTGTTTGATATTCACAAGTTCTATAACGTGGTTGTTGAGGAGCTGCCTTCGAACGTTGCCGATCTGCTGTGAAGGAGAAATTCGCCGTCAGTACTATCACCGGAGAAGAAAGGTTTTCTTGTTTTGTAAGGCACTCTTTGATTTGATTTTGACCTGTCGTCTCTCTCTCTTCCTTCTTCATCAGCGATTATTTATTACCTTCTTGAATTTTCTATGGGGCATTTGCCCATCTTTATTTTAAGTATATTATTTTACTTTTATGGCAACAATAAAATTGAATATTGGAAGGAAATTTTCTAAAATTTTCTATGAATCAACCGAAAAAGCTATTGAGTTTGCGACATAGTACGGGAAAGAGAAGGAGCTGTGTAAGACTGGAGACTCCGTTGTTGCTCTACATTTGAACCTAAATAGAAATTCAAAAACGGGATTTTTAAGAGATCGGAAATTTCTTAATGGTGTAAACATTTGCAAGATGGAATTCTTCACTTAGTCACATTTGAATCTCCAATCTCTTAAAAAGAGAAATTTTTTGACTATTAAAAAATTTCCGATCTCTTAAAAATCCCGTTTTTGGTGTTTTGGCGTTTTGGGAACGCAACTATAAGGCGTTTTATTATGAATTTTATTTAAGATTGTGATTAGAAAACTCAAGTTCTCTTTCTTGCTAATTACTACTGTGGTGACTAGTGAATCTACTTACGGTTCCTTTTTTGGATTATTCGTTGTATTGAACAAATGGATTATATACGTATCTAATATCATGATTTCTTTTTTGTTTTAAAATATATTCCATTCTTTTATTTGTTAAGACAAAAAAAAAACAGAAATAGCGCATGAAATATTTTCTCATCAATTATTTCTTTTTTAGAAATTTTATAAAAATAATTTTATAAAATGAAACTTTTTAAATATAGCATATTAAACTATAAGCAAAAGAGTGTACATATTAATTTAAATATATATATATATATATATACACATAAAACTTTTAAAATTAGATTGTTGTATACTTAAATAAAAAGATATATTTATTATAAATAAATTCAAAATATATAATAATATACTATTATAAATAAATCTAAAATATATAATAATATACAAACCTGCACGTACACGCGGCGTATTACCTAGTTGTAGTTAACGCTGAAGCCATCTTCTTGAAAACATGCTCTACCTTTTCCGCCTGAAATTCACATTTGGGAAATGCGTACACAGAAAATACTCTTCTCCAAATCAACACACAAAGTAAGTATTGTGTGTGGGGGATCACTTCTAGGTAGCAAAAAAACCTTAAACTATTCTCTATAAATATCCTTAATGGAAGCTTCTCCCATCCACGAAAATGACATATAGAAAACTCTTTCTACTCTAAAAAAACATATATTTCTTTTCGTTCTTTTCATATTTCATCTCTCACCATCCCATTTTTTTGGTTATCCTTCCAGTCTTGTGACTTGTTCTCACTTAAGCGTCAAAGCATCTTTAAGAGAAAAACTCTCTTCCCTCTCTTACTTCACCGGATCATGTATACGCCCTATGGATTGTTCTACTGCAATTGTTATATTTTACTATATACTTTTTAGCAATTAGAAATTAAAAATTGTTAGGTTTAGTATTTGATTTATAGAGTTTGAAATTGTTAGTTTTATGTTTAGTATATGATTTTTAGAGATTTGAAATTGTTAGGTTTAGGTTAATTTTTTGGCAATTTTGATATATGAATTTATACAATATATATAAATAGGTGGTTGGTCTGCACATATGTGTATGCATGAAAATTTTAATAAAATTAATTAATAATAATAATATATCATTTATAATAATAAGTGATTGACCTATTCAGTAATATACTTGTAAAAAAAAAATTAGTTCATGAAAAAATGATTTTATAGGTTTGAGAAATTATATATAGCAAAATATAAAATATACACAAAACTTAAAATACTTTAGAAACCCGTAAAGTTGAATAAAATGATTCTTTGTTATTCTTTTTTTCTATTTTTATTCAGATTTTACATCTTTTTATAGGTTTTTTAATCTCATTCCATCACATTTCGTCCAATTTCTGGTTCGTAATTCTCGCTATATAATTAGAATACATTTATATATAATATAAACTTTTGTTTTTTATTTGTAGTGGAACAAGATAAGATGATAATAAAAGTGAATCAATTCTCCTTCTAAAAATCTAATTCCACAAATTTCACACAAACACATGAATTTGTAAATATTTTGCTAAAAACTTAATTAAAATAAGATTTCAAAAAATTCCATAAAAAAATGATTTCGCAAAATTTCCGCCATAAAGATGAGTAAGTAACTTTCGCACCAAAAAATTACATCAAAAATATGATCCAGAAACATTTTATCAAAATTTTAATTTTTTAAACTACCCGCGAAAAAGTGAATCCATAAAAAGAAATTCGCCAAAATATTTACATTAATAATGTGATTCCAAAAACTACCAGTCAAAATTTTGATTTCATGAATTTCTCGCTAAATAAGTGAAACTGTAAATCTTCCGCCGAAAACATAAAATATAATTTCAAAAAAACTTCTGTGAAAACCCGATTTCAGAAAATTTCTTCCAAAAACATGAAATTATAATTTTTCCACCATAATATTTATTTTTGACTATTTTAATTTGATTTTGTGACTTTTTGCCAAATATTATGAATCCATAAATTTTATGTCAAAAATGTGATATCAAATAATTTCCGGCTATATAGTTTGCCACAAAATTTCTGCTAAATACCTGAAATCCATAAATTTCTCTAACAAAATTTTTGTGTTGAAATGTGATTTCAAATCTATTTGACAAAAATATAATTTTCCAAAATTTTTGTCAAAAATTTGAGTTCTTAAATTTTGTATCAAAATTTTAACATTAAATTTTATTTATAGATTATATAATACCATGTCACAAGCCATGTGTACTCTCCTGCATACTGTCCCAGGTAGCTCTCTGGAGACAGCAGCCTGCCCCCGTAGACTGCCCCAGCGAGATCGCAGGAGGCTCCAGTAAGCTCCCGGGAGACAGCAGCCTCTCCCGTCAGACTGCACAGCATGCCCCCTGAAGTTCATCCTTATCACCTACATTGACTTATTGGTCCCCCACATGGCTATATGCATTGGTTTTCTTTGCTCCTCTAGTGGATAGAGCTCCTACCATTTACTATTCTGCTTATCTTATACCAACGAACACATACCCATCCCTCCCCCCCCCCCCCCCCCCCTCAAGCATTATGCAAAATGCTCCCGAACACCAAGATATTATGTAAAAGAAAAAGGAAGAATAATGTTCATAGAATTTGAAGATTATTGCAATAAAATTAGATCAATGTAAACACGTTAAAAACAAATAAATAATCGAATAACATACTAATTTTATGTGAAATCAAAAACAATTTAAAAACAAATAAATAACAAAAAAATCAGATATATATGTATCAACCTAAACATAGAAATCGACAGAAAATAGTGTCACATATATTACACTATTAATAGAAATAAAGATTTATGGTTTGTATCATTGTTTATTAATATTTTTTATAATCCAATAATTATAGATACAATTTTATTTTTATAAACGAAATAGAAATTATCTTTTTTGGACTAACCTAAATAGAGATATACATCTTAAATATATTATATATTTTTTAATTTCATTAAAGTTAATTACTTTTTGTAACCAATCTATTAAAAATATATATTTTTAAATAATTAATATATCTACTTTTTTACATAAAACTATTATAAACCGAATTATTTTAAATGTAAATTAGCATGAGGGACAAAGAGTAATTAACTACAATAATTTTTAACCACATCCCAACTTGCTTCTCAATTAATAATATGATACTGTTGGGTCCACTTTTACCTCAACCAATATCGAAGCAATACCTGGACACCAAGTCCCACCAAAGAGCTGACTTTCTCCCCCAAAGCCTGCCATCAACTCTCTGGCGGACTGTTCCGAGGCAGGTGGCATGTTTAACGAGGCAGGTGGCGTGCTAAACCAAGCCGCCTGCTCTTGCAGCACGCCGCACGGATGAGACAGGACGAGTGTATAAAAGGAGGTCGAAGTCCAAAAAAAAGAGGGAGGTGGGACACGATATATAAGTTGGAGATGACGATGAGAGACCAGATTGGTGACATCCAGAGGAGAAGGTGAAAACATCCAACTCCCGTCACACCGGAGCTCATCTTGAGCCTCCAGGGTCAGCAAAACCAAATGAGAATGCTCACCGTTCCCTGGAGAATACGCCTACCTAGATAAGCATTCTCCGCTCTTCTGTTTGTTATTCCACACCCGTGTGAAGAGAGTTTATACCTCACTCATCTAACGGTCCATCTCTTACACTCCACCCTCCACCATATATCAGATGAGTGTCATGGTCCCCAAACTCGACACTCAACCAATAAACCATCTCAAAATCCACCTTCCCGAGTACTTGTTCCCAGTAAGGCATTCACTGACTTGAGCATCGGAGAATCTTCGGAAGGGAAACACTCTTTCGGTCCATCCGGATGTCTGGCTCACTCATTTACCCATATTCACAGAACCCATCAGACTTCCGCCCAGGATCTGTATGTCACTCATCCCCTAGAGGACAAAACCCAGAGCCGCAGCTCCATACATCCGGACAAACACATACCCCCCTTACGTAACCCATAATTTATGTACGAACAGTTGTCGTTAGAATAAAAAAGGAAGACCGACAAACAGCACCATAAAGGAAGTAGTCAGTGCGTTGCTAAGCAACTAACCGCGGAAGAAGCTCTAAGTATGTGGCGGCCAAAGATGAGAACACTTGACCCGGGACGCCGCATCGCGGAAGAAAAAAGACGCGGCAAGATCAGGGAGGAGACCTCCACTCCAGATGGGCTCTATTGCCAGGCTCGAGGGTAACTTCCCCTTAATATGAAGGGACTTAGACAAAGCAAATCCAGCCCTCGACGGCATCCAAAGCTCCATCCAGCCAAGAGCCCCCACGCCCAGGAATGTACATGCCAGCGCGGAACGCTTGTTCCCTGCAGATAGGACAGACAACGAGAGCATGCGGATC